AAAGCCTGAAAATGATTTTTATATACAATCACAATTTCCCTTGTTCTGTGTTTTTATTACATATTGTGTGTTTTATATGTTTCTGTTTTCATTTTATTTATTCATTTATGTCTGTCTGTCTGTCTGACCGTCTGTCTGTCTGTCTGTCTGTCTCTCTCTCTCTTATTCTTTGAGATTATCATATCATTGCATTTCATGAGCACTAATGTAGAAGGTTAAGCCAGTGTAATAAATTTTAAATTATTAATAAATTTTCACTGAAACAGCATTTTCCTTTCTTTTCTGTTCTTTTTCTTGCAGTCTTTCTTTAGCTTTGTTTTTTTCTCTCTCTGTCTATTATCTATCTATCTAGCTATCTATCTACCTATATACACCCATGTCTATACCTTTATATACATCCATATCTATATATTTATATACATCCATGTATACATTTATTTATTTATTTATTTATTTATTTATCTATTTATCTATTAATTAATTTATTTATTTATTCATTTATTCATTCATTTATTTATATCTATATAGTTATCATCATCCTCATTTGGGAGCTAACGCCGGCAGGGGCGCATAGCCGCATCCACCCTTCGCTTCCATCTACGAGGATCCCTCATGGCGAGCCCCCAGGCGGGGGCCCGGCCCATCTCTAGTTCCTCACGACAGGTTTGATCGATCTGCCAAGCCACGACCTTCTCGGTTGTCCCACAGGCCTCCTCCCCCAGGGTTGCCCTGATGGGCAGGATCATCGTGCGGGAATCGAGCCAAGTGGCCATATAGCCTGAGTTGGCGATCACGGATTGTGGAAGTAACAGGTCCTGTACCGGTCTCACGGTGTAACCGTTGGTTGGACACATGGTCCCGCCAACTGTACCCCATGATCCAGCGCAAGGATCTGTTACAAAAGGCATTGAGACGAGATTCCGAAGTTCAAGAGAGCATCCAAGTTTCACTACCATATAGTAAAACTGGCAGTATCAGGGCCTTGAAAACACATAGCTTGGTCCTTCTGCACAGGTACCGGCACCTCCAAATACTCTTGTCCAGAGATTTCATGACCCCTGCTGCCAGGCCAATCCGTCTACTGACTTCCTGGTCTGACAGCCCAGAGTCATGAACTGCACTACCGAGGTATATAAAGCTCCTTGTGACTTCGATGTTTTCACCGCACGCACGTACCGACTGCACAGGGTCTCCTAGTAGACCCCCAAAATCCTGGATCTTGGTCTTGGTCCAGGAGACCTCTAGCCCCAGGGGCTTCACTTCATTGCTAAATGCATCAAGAGCCACCGCTAGGGTTTCCAGAGATTCAGAAAGAATGGCAACATCATCAGCAAAGTCAAGGTCTGTAGCCTTGATATTGCCCAGAGTTGCTCCACACTGACTTTGAACAGTAGCTCTACCCAGTATCCAATCCATGCAAGTGTTGAAAAGTGTTGGTGCAAGAACACAGCTTTGCCTCACGCCTGAACTAACAGGAAAGAAGCTCGACAGGCCCCCACCACTCTTTACAGCACTTTCAGTGCCTGTATACAGGTTTGCTATTAGTCCAACAATCCTTGTTGGAATTCTTCTCAGTCTCAGGATCTCCCAGAGTGATTCGCGATGCACCGTATCAAACGCCTTCTTGAGGTCGATGTAGGCTGTGAGCAGCCCACGTCCGAACTCACGACGGCGCTCTACAATGACTCAAAGCATCAGGATGCGGTCTATTGTGGACCAGGAGTGAATACAGATTGCTCCGGTCTTTGGTGCCTCAGGAGGTGGTCTCTGATACGTCTCAGTAAGATGTGCGCGAGTACCTTGCCTGGTACACTGAGCAGTGTAATGCCTCGGTGATTGCTGCAGTCCCACCGATCCCCTTTCCCCTTCCAGTGAGGGATGACCACACCCCTCAGCAGGTCAGGGGGAATGGTACCGGTCTGCCAGATGGCAGACAGGACTGCATGCAAGCCCCTTGCCAAAGGTTCTTCACCAGCCTTTAATAATTCAGCTGGGATGCTACAAAGACCTGCTGCTTTACCACTCTTCAGCTTGGAGATCGCCCCCTTGACTTCAGTCAGGGAGGGTGGATCCTCACTGATGGGTGGGTCTGGCAGAGGAATCTCAACATTACCAGCATCCAAGTTAACTGTTGGTGGATCAACCTGATACAACTGCTCAAAATACTCAGCCCAACGCACACGCACCCCATCAGGATCTGAGATTGCCTGGCCTGTCGCAGGGAATGGACATTCCAAGCCCCCACCCTGACAGCCCGCTTGAAGTCTAACCTCTGGCAGTCACTCCGGGTGGGCGCCACCTCTGCCATCCCTATCGACGCCGCCCCATATAGAGGTTGGCTGGCTGCAGGTCCCATAATCCGCCTGCAGGGCTCCTGGGGGCTTTCCCCCACAAGAATCACGCCAGGCTGGCGGCCCAGATGGGTAACCCCCCCCCTCCCCACCCGAATCCCAGCGGTCGCCAACCCAAAGGGACCCACAGCCTGCTGTTCTTGCTGGGT